TGATTGGCCAGGCAGAAAGTATAGGCGGGAATACCAGACAGGAAGTAGAGGTGATGCAATGAGAACAGGAGAATTCTGGGAAGCAGGAAGCTCCCTCTGCCATTCCTGCACAGACCACCGAAGAGGCAACATGTAAGCTGACAGCTGAAAAAGGTACCAAGCCATATGGCTAACATAGATCAGAATAATGGGTTAAGATAAGTCATAAGAACTAATAAGTAGCCTGACCTAATGGGCCAATCAGTTTATAATCTTATGGAGTCCTGTGTGTGATTTTCCTTGGGGTATGCCGGATGTGGAGTACTGGGTGGGACAGATACCCCAACAAGCTGGCCCTCATGTTACAAACTCCCACCGGAAAGCTGTATAGGAGAGAGCCCAGGGACTAGGGTGGTTTAATCTCTAGCTCCGTCGGCTACTGGCTGTTGATAGGCTCCTGTGCACTCAGGCGATTAGAAAAAAGATAAAGATGCTCATCAGTACCAGGTTTGGGAAAGTAAAAAAAAATCTCATGTTCCCTATATGCTCCCTCATCCGTGAAGATACCTATTTTACAGATCATTTAAAAACTAGAAACAGGTGCCACGGGGGAGGCATAGGCAGGTAGATCTCTGTGAATTCATGCCAGCCAAGGCTACATAGTGAGACCCTGCCTTCAAACAAACAAAACAGAATGAGGATGTAGCTCGTTTGAGCAAGTGCTTATCTGGCATGCACAACTCTGGGTTTGATCCCCAGCACATGCTTGTAATCTTAGTATTCTGGAGATTGAAGCAAGAAAATGAAGATTTGAAGATATATATCACCACCGCCATCACCACCACCTCCACCACCTCCTGAGCTCAAGATCAGCCTGAGATACATAGCAAGACCTTGTCTCCATGTCTTGGAATAAACAAGAGTGAAAATCATCATCCTGTTTGTATTTATACACACTAAGATGGCCCCCTAGCCACCCCTGTTGTAACATGTGGGCCGGCTTGTTGGGGTTTCTGTCCCGCCCGGTACCCCACAGCTAGCAACTCCCAAGGAAAATCACACACAGGACTCCATAAGATTATAAACTGATTGGCCCATTAGCTCAGGTTTCTTGTTAACTCTTATAATTTATGTTACCCCATTATCCTTATCTACATTAGCCACATGGCTCAGTACCTTTTCCAGTGGGGCAGCTTACATCTTTCCTCTCCGGTGGTCTGGGCAGAACTGCGGAGGGAGCTTCCTGCTTTCCAGAATACTCCCAGTCTCTTTGTTCCACCTCTACTTCCTGTCTGACTTTCCCGCCTATCCTGCCTGCCTGGCCAATCAGCATTTTATTAAAATATGATTGACAGAATACAGACAATTCTCCCACACCATTTCCCTCTTTTTTTTATAAACAAAGGAAAATACCCATAGTCCACTTGTTGGGAATGTGGGCGTAGTATTTCAGGTTACTTCCTGCTGGTTGGGGGCGCTGATGATCTTATGGGGACCTAAAGAAAATTTAGAGTTATAATCAAGTCCTGACTGGAGTATCCTGTGAGTCTTGATCATCTCAGGCAGTAGTCTTGAATCTGTTCTGGATGTAGAACTCTGTCATCTGGGTCATCTGTTCCTATCAGAGATTTCTCAGGTGGTCTTCCTTTTTCGAACCTGATTTTTCTTAACTCAGAATGAATCCACAGCCTCTCATTTTCTGTGGAAACAAAAGCAAAATCTCTTCTCCAAAGTAACATACATTTTGACTTCAATTTTGAAGCCAAGGTGTTTTCAAAATACCTATCTTGGATTAATTCTGCAGCATTTATAAGCAAATGTCTTTTGGCGACTATTGCTCCTTCCTCAGCATTCAAACAATTAAAAGAGAGCATAATAGCATACAGTATCAAGATTCTCTGTGTATTTTCCATCTTTATGATGGCTTTATTTCAACCTCTATTTCTTTTAATTTTACTTTTAACTTTTGGCTTTTTGAGACAGGTTCTCTGTATATATCCTTGTCCTGGACTAACTATGTAGACCAGGCTGTCCTTGAACTCACAGAGATCCCTCTGTCTCTGCTTCCCCAGTGCTGAGCTCAAAGGTGTATGCTACCACACCTTGAACTCACAGAGATCTGTCTGTCTCTGTCTCCCAGGCATTGGGATTAAAGGCGTTTGCTACCACACCTTGAAGTCACAGAGGTCAATCTCTACCTCTGTCCCTTGAAGTCACAGAGGTCAATATGCCTCTGCCTCCCAGGCATTGGGATTAAAGGTGTGTACCACCACACCCTATTTCTCCATTTCTTTCTTTTTTATTTTTAATGACTTTAACCTTTTAGCCTGCATATATTTTTAACACACTGTAAACCATTTAGAGGTTTTCTACGTGTTTGAATCTCTCTTTACTGTATATCTCTCTTTTGCTGACCACATGAGCCTTTAAGGAGAGGACTAAAACTGTGGCTTTGACAGTTAGATCCAGCCCATTCCTTAGCTTTCCAGCCTCATGGCTGAGATATCAGCCAGAGCTGTGTTCACTGCCACAACTCTATGGCGTTTCAAGGTCCCTGCCAGCAAGCAAGCTGCAGCATTCTGCTCACAGACCACACTCAGTCAGACTGCCTGCCTGAAAGAGTCAGAGTTTGCCCTGGCAGGACAGCCCAGAAAGCCAGCATTTTAAAATGGCACAGCTTTTTTCCTGCTACAGCTGAAAACCGAAAAGCATGTGTTCAGCTTTTCAACAACACCGTTTAAGTATTTTGTGGCAGGACCTTTTAAAAGAGCTGCAAGGTTTTGCAGCTAAAGCTGAGTCAGGAAGCCTCCCTTAGATGAGAGCGCTTGCTTGCCTCTAGCAAGCAGATCAGACCTGAGAAATTGCTGCTACCAACAAACCATGCATAAAGCTGTTATTTTGTTCTAGACTTACTTCCCAAGCTGTCTCAGGCTTTATGTGGATACACCCTGTGCTGTACCTAGAACTACCATGGTGTGTATACCCTCTTGCAGGGCATCACTGCATAGGTAAGATGTAAATGGAGGCTCTTTTTCTGGTAAGGTGAACTTTAATGCCAAGTTTTACCTTCAGTGCTTGGGACTGAACCCTGGACCTTGTGCACGCCAGGTAGGCAATCTACCCCTGAGCTAAACTTCCTGCCCCTTGCACATAACTTCTTTTGCGGACTGCCTCCCGGTACAAATACTCTCAGAATGTCTTGTGCTCGCTGTTCTCCCATAGCAGACATGTCTACCTTACTTGTTGAGCCACTGCTGTGTGATAATGCTCTTGTACACTGTAAAGATTTGTCACTCGTGTTGGTTTAATAAAATGCTGATTGACCAGTAGCCAGGTATAGGTGGGAAGTATAGGTGGGGCAGCCAGACTAGAGAAGAAGAAAGGCAGAGAGTCAGTCAACAGTCAGACGCAGAGAAAGCAAGATAGAATGCCTTACTGAGAAAAGGTACCAAGCCCCATGTGACTAAACATAGATAAGAATTATGGGCTAATTTAAATTGTAAGAGCTAGTTAATAATAAGCCTTAGCTAATAGGTCAAACAGTTTATAATTTATATATATTTATATATATATACACACACACACACACACATATATATATATTGTGTGTTTCTTTGGTACTGAACGACTGCAGGACCAGGTGGGACAGAAACTTACATCTGCAAGCCACCAGCTATTTGACGGCAGGGGTTTGTCATGATTCCACCATATTTCAAGGTCCCCATCTTCCATTATTGACCATACAGTTCCCAGGTCTTCACAACTGTGGCTTATGCCCTACTCAGTCAGTCCAAGAACAAAAGGACTACAGGCTCAACCCAAGGACTTAGGCATAGAGAGAGGTTGTTTTAGCTTTCCCATTTGCTCTTAGGCACCTCCGTGATACAGGAAATGTATCTGTGACAAGGTGACAGAAAATGTGCATCCTCCTGTGCTGAGATTCATGGGAGAAAGGAGTTATTTCCCATCCTGATTCAGAAAATCCCAGGGGTAGCTTTGCTGTATTTTATTTTGAGACAAGGTATCATTCTGTAGCCCAAGCTAGCCTGGAACTCATTATGTAGCCCAGGCTAGCCTTGAACTTAAGGCACGACTCTTGCTTCAGTCTCCCAACAATACGAGCTACCACATTTGACCTCAGGATTGGATTTTGAATAATCCTGTTTGGGTCCTGGGCTCAGCAAGATCAGAGGAAGTCACGCTGCTTGATGAGTTCCTGGGAAGGCCCTGAGGCCACAGTGTGTCCACGTGGTGGGGCAGGGAACAAGCATCAGCAGACCCATAGGAGTCACATGGAGGGTAGGTGTGCCGCTGTCAAACGCCACTCAGGACTCTAATGGCCCTAGTACAGATGTTGACAGATGATCTCGAGAGAGCTGTGAGGACAGGGAGGACAGGTCACGGGCTCCCAAAGTCACGGCTCACCATCCTGGGGTACAAGCAAAGACTGTGACGATGGTAGGTTTGTGTGGGTAGCCAGGAATCTGAAAGGGCCAGGAAAGGGTGAGCTGAGTCATTCCTTCATTTGTTCTTCCTTTTAAAAAGTATACTTTGGGTTTTCAAGTTTTTGTGCATGTATATATTACATGCTGAAGTTATTTCCCCTCGGAGCCACCTTTTCTTTCCATGATCTGGGTTGTCCCCCTAAACTAACCCCCTCCCCCCTCTCATCTAGGAACCTTATGGTGAGAAAAAAAAATGATGTTTGTGTTTCTGTGATTGACTAAAATCACCTAATATGATTATTTCCAGTTATGTTCATTTTCCTGCAAAAATGACTTTGTTCTTCTTTCTGACTGAACAACAAAACAATTCTATTGTGCACATACACCACTTTTTTGTTCTTGAGACAGGGTTTCTTTGCATAGCCTTGGCTATCCTGAAACTAGCTCTGTAGCCCAGACTGGCCTTGAACTCACAGAGATCTGCCTGCCTCTGCCTCCCAAGTGCTGGGATTAAAAGTATGTGCCACCACCGCCCGGTTTAGATACCTAGGTCAACTCCACAATTTCGTTATTGTGAAAAATATAGAACGCTTCACAAATTTGCATGCCGTCTTTGCTGCGACGGGGCCACACTCAATCCCCTCTGTCTTGTTTCAGTTTCAGTGTGTGTGCTGCGGAAGTGAGCACTCTTCAGTTCCAAGACACAGTCTCATGTAGTCCAGGCTAGCCTCGAGCTCACTGTGTAGCTAAGGATGTCCTTAAACCCCTCATTCTCCTGCCTTCACCTCCCACATGCTGAGGTCACAGGCAGGTGTGTTCCATCACACCCAGCTTATGCGGTGCTGGGTGTCGAACCCGGGGCTTTGTACATGCTAGGCAAGGGCCCTATCGCTGAGCTCTGTCCCCAGCTCGTTCATTTTGCTTTTTAAAACATGGTCTCACCTGGGGACGGTGCCCCCCCCCCCCCCCCCCCGCTAATCCCAGCCGTGCCAGGACAGCCAGAGCTACACGGAGAAATCCTGTCTCGATAAACACAACAAAACAGGACGAGGTCTACTGTTGCCCCGGCAGATCTTGAAGTGCGATCCTCTGTCGTCTCCCTAGGAGCTGAGACCATAGACCTGCCACTAACCCTGCTGGCTATCTGTCCCTTTAATGCTTTGAGAAGCAGGAAACCATAGACACTGGCTCTCTCTGTCCCGCAGACTGGAAGAACAGAGTGTTTCGTCTGGGTCATGCTCCCTCAGAAGTGCTGGGAGGTTTCTCGTCTTCTTCCAGCTTCTGCTGGCTTCAGGCTGCCTGGACTGACTGACCTCACTACAGCCCGTCACCCTTTTCATGTGGCATCTTCCCCCACGCGACTCTGGATCTTTGCACTCTGTCTTCCCTCTCGCTTCTCTTCTCTTTGAACAAGGACACCAGTTAAATTGGATGAGAACCCACTCTGCTCCAGCATGACTCTGTTGAAACCACAAAGGCAGTGGCTCTGCTTCCACAGAGCTCGCTTTGGAGACACTGGGATGTGAACTTCAACAGATCCTTTTACATTGATTTGTGGGTGGCTGGGTAGGCGGATGCTTGTGCGTGTGTGCATGTGGACACCGGAGGTCAGCCTCCAGGCTGATCGTTCAGAAGCTGTCTACTTTGTTCTATTGATTTTTTTAAAAAGAAGATTAAATTTGTGCACACACACACAAATAAATATTTACCATCGTGTGAGTATAGAGGTCAGAGGACAACCTGTGGGCGTTGCTTACACTACGTGACTCTCACAGATCACAGTCAAGTGGTCAGGTATGGCATAAAGTGACTTTACCTGCTCAACCATCTTGCTGGCCCCACTTTGTTTATTTCTTATTTATTTATTTATTTAAAGTTCACATCTGACCTCATGTTAGCAAGCGCTGACTGTCCTGTCCTGAGCTTTGTTCGTTGGTGGCTCTAGCCTCAGCCTCCTGCCTATCCTCTTTGAACTCCTCGCGTTGGACTCACCTCACTTTGTCGTTTGCCCACACCTTCACACTTAAAAATTGTGTCTGCGTTTTCATGTGTGCATGCGTGTGTGCGTGCAAGTACATCCATGTGCATATGCAATGGGGGCGTGCCCCACCTTATTTTTTTATTTCAAAGACTTATTTATTTTATGTGTATATGATGTGAGATGTCCTTCTGTATATGTGCTGCTTTTATTGGTTGATGAATAAAGCTGCTTTGGCCTATAGCAAGGTAGAATATAGCCAGGCTGGAAGAGATACAGAGAGAGAGAGAAAGAGTGGGTGGAGTAAAAGAGACACCTTGAAGCTGCCAAAGGAGAAAGATGGCAAGCCGCCAGCCAGAACCTTACCGGTAGGCCACAACCTCGTGGTGATTCACAGACTAATAGAAATGGGTTAATTTAAGATGTAAGAGTTAGCTAGAAATATGCCTAAGCTACTGACCAAACAGTGTTGTAATTAATATAGTTTCTGTGTGATTATTCGCATCAGGGCAGCTGGGAAATGCTTACATATGAATGTTTTGCCTGCTTGCATGGACACACACCATATGTGTGCCTGGTTCCCGAGGAGCCGAGAAGAGGGTGTTGGGTTCCCTGGAACTGGAGTTATGGATGGTTGTGAGTCACTATGTGGTTTCTGGGAATCAAACCTGGGTCCTCTGCAAGAGCCACAAGTGCTTTAAACTGCTGGACTATCTCCCCCACCCCTCTACCTTGCTTTTTGTGACAAGGTCCCTCACTGAATCTGGAACTCACAATTTGACTAGACTGGCTGACCAGAAAGCCCAAATTTCTGCTTCCCCAGCACCAATATGGTAGACAGTGACACATTACACATTGTGTGCCTGTCTCAAAAAATATGATTAAATTAATTTTTTTTTTAAAGTGATGCAAAAGCTTGAAGGTGGTGCCTCAGTTAACAGCGTAGCTGATTGGAAAGGAGGTAGACGGGTCTTTGGAAGGAGGATGCCAAGGTTGGGCCTAGCCTTTTAATTTATTATTTTTTCCTTTTTTTAGATGTGGGTTCTAGGAGATAGACTTCAGGTTCTCATGCTTTCACGGCAAGAGATTTACCAAGTGAGCCGTTGCCCCATCCCAGAATGGAGCCACTGTGATGGAAAGGCTGTGGCTTCTTTCTTGAGGCTCCCCATCCAACCCCACGGGTTCTCTCTGTTGTGTGCTGCAGGAGACTGTGCTCCGTAGAGTACAGGACGCCATCTTGTCACTTCCAGGGGCTCGGGACCCCACTTGACTGTGCTGGGGGCTGGGAGGAACCATCTCAGGAAACTTGTAGCCGCGCGGACCTGTCTGTCCAGCTTCCAGGTTGGGAAGGCGATAGAGGGTCAGCAATCCACCGTTATGAATTTGGATTGTCTTTGATTACAAAAACAAACAAAAACTAAAACAAAAAAAACCCAAACCAAAACCAAGTAAAGGGTTTCCAGCCAGGGACTACTGTTAGCTGCTAAATGCTTTTCAAGATTACTCTGGCGGTCCCTCTGAAAATGGAGTGGAAGTGGGGAGGGGCTAGAGGCAGGCACAGAAGTGGGGGAGCAGGGCTGGGCCCGCTATACAATGCCAGAGCATATATGGTACTCATTGGAGTTCTGCAGCATGGTGGTCCTGGGAGACAGGATAGGATGAAGCAAAGGTCCGTTTGCAGACAGATGGAGACAGAAAGCTAGGTGTGTGTGTTGTTACATTAGGGTCTGGGAAGAGGGAAGCTCCATTGAGAAAATGGAAAAAAGCTCCAGACTGGATTGTAGGAACTCTGAGGGGCATTTACTTGGCTAATGATTGATGTGGGAGGGTCCTGCATACTATTGGCAGTGCTGTCTCTGTGCAGGTGATCCTGGGTGTATAAAAAAGCCGGCTCAGGAAGTCATGGGGAGCAAGCCAGTAAGTCGTGTTCTCTGCCGTTTGGGCTTCAGTTTTGGCCTCCTGGTTCCTGCCTTGACTTCCTGCCCTGACATCTGTTGGTGATGGATTGTGACCTGGGAGTCGTTAGATGCAATAAGCCCTTTCCTCCCTAAGTAGCTGCTGGTCATGGTGTTTAGCATAGCAACAGAAAGCAAACAGGGACAATTTGGAAACAGAACTGATAGGGCTTGCTGGAGAGGAGGAGGAGGGAGGGGGAGGGGGAGATTACGGTTTTGCCGTTGCTTAATTGTGAGGCAGGGTCTTGCTATGAAACCCAGGCCTATCCAAGAACTCACTGTTAGAGACCCTCTTGCCTCCGCAACTGGGTGAGAGGTGGTGGCATTTCCTGAGAGAGCGAAGATTGGAGAGGAGTGCTAGGCATGCTGGGACACATCTCAAAAAGAGTCAGGCATTTCTATAGAGGAGGGCAAAGGAAAAGCCACTGGCCCTGTGGGAGAAATACCTGGAGGCTGAGGACCAACAGCCATTTCTCTATAACTCTGGGAAGCGCGGAGGGCTGAGGACCTGCGGGGTTATCATCAGCTCTGGCTGATGCTCCGGGGCAGCATTGACTTTGGAGGCATGTGATCCAGGCAGGAACACAGAGACCCACTTGTAGAAGCTTCCCTGGATCCTATTCCTTGTTGTCTTGTTGGAATGGGTAGTGGGGTTCTGCTTTTCCGTTTCCCCCTGGGCACTACAAATTGTACAGCTGGTCCTACTGTGTTGTAAGTTTGGACCATTCCATTCCGAACTACATATTCAACAAAGAATAAACCCAAAGGCAACAGATGCTTATGGCTTAATGTGTCTGAAGTGCTTGGGAAAGTGCCCGGGGTTAGAATAGGTAGGTGTTTTGTAAGTATTTGAGGTGAGGGTTATGAGAATAATCATGAGGATCACTCGGAGTGTGAGCTAGGAGGGTCCTTGTACTTCAGTCTCAAGAGGAAAGAAGGAATGGACGCTTGTTTAGAAGTAAAGTTGAGAGTCATGGATGGAGCTGTTTGGAGTTACTAGCGCAGCTCTTGACAGCTGCCTGCAACACCGGCATGCAAGCTTTCCGTCAGGAGTTTGAGCCCCGTGATCCCAGGATGCCTGGCTGCTGGAAGTGTCTGGAATAAGCCCATGCTTGGGAATGTTATGCCAGGCACCTGGAAACTGTGGGAAGGAAGGCCACAAATACATTTTCCTGAGCCCTGAGGAGACCAAGGGAACAGAGGGGAAGTGCTGGCAGGGCGGAGTTCCCTAGCTGTGAACCCAGGATCTCCCGGAAGATCTGGAGGGAGAGCCTCACCCAGTTTGTGTAAACCTGGCAGTGTGCGTGGGCACAGGCACCATCCCTGTCCTCATTCTGTCACGGGGAGGATCATAGGAGGTATCATATGGCCTGCTGCCAAGAGCGGAGCTTCAGGAGCGGAACAGGCTTCCTGGCCAGCCGGCCTGGGATTCACAGTGCAGTTTCCTTGCTCCCCGAGGATGCCACTTATTTGCTGTTTGTCACTTTGGAAAAAAAAAAAAGTCATTTCAGGCTGGGGAGATAATAAAGCCCGGTTGATAACGTATTTGAGTTTCATCTCTAGAGCCCGTGTATCTATATTTAAATAGAGCTAAGTGTGGTGGCAATCCAGGTTCAAAATCCGCATCCCAGGATGGCAGAGAGGTGAAGATCTCTTGTGCTTCCTGGCTAGCCTGGTCTACTCTGACAGTTCCAGGTGATTGAAAGACCTAGAGTCAAAACCAAGATGGATGACTCTTGAGAAACAACACCTGA